CGACGCTCCGGGAAGTCTGCAGTCTGTGAACATGTACAGGATCGCCCCCGTCACTACATCAGATTTGATAGACCACAAATCCTCGCTAAAGAACACCGATTCCTTCCAAGGATGATTCGCGAGGCTATTGAAATCAAAAAACATCCTAATTTCAATAGAGAAGATGGCTGGGTGCTATCATCTGCTTGGGATCCTATAATAAATAAAATTAAATCCCAACCCAAGCATACAACTGCAAGACTCCATGATACCATAAGTTCATACTGTGTAGATCGGAACAAAAGTTAAATTTTAATCTATGGTAACCGCGGTTAACTATGACAGCTGGACGTTGAACATCTCAGTCCTTCCCGTGACCATGGGTGCTGTAAAGCTCTCGAAACGTCGGGTAATTAAAAAGTTAAATATACGCGATAAATTCCGTAAAAACTAGTATTATTTCAACGTTGCCTTGAGGTATTGAGGCATTAATAGTTTTACTATCCGATCTAATTTTTTCAGTTTCAAGGCACTCCCCTTGTTGCCTCAGCCAGTATCGGAATCCTCGGCGTCGACATATAGAGTAACGTACATTTTCGTGGTCACTTGGAAGAGAAGGCCAAATTGGCTTCTAAAAAGCTTGGCGTGCTCAGCAGAGCGGGACAGTATATCATGCCGGCACACCGCCTGCAACTTTACAAGGCGCAGGTTCGGCCGCACATGGAATACTGTTCCCGTCTCTGGGCTGGGGCTCCCCAGTACCAGCTCCTTCCACTTGACCGCATCCAGCGCAGAGCGGCTCGAATCGTCAACGACCGAGTGCTTTCCGATTGGCTCGATTCACTGGCACTGCGAAGAGATGTTGCATCTCTTTGCATTTTCTTTCGCATATACCATGAGTGAGAGTGCTTTGAGGAATTTCGTGAACGCGGCAAACGCGTTGGCGGTCCACCACTGTACGTTTCAAAAGGAGTTTTCTTCCGCGTACAACTTCTCTGTGGAATAGTTTACCACCGGCGATTTTTCCGGACCGATACGACCTGGGGACCTTCAAGAATAGAGCTTACTCCTTTCTAAAGGGCCGGCAACGCACCTGCAATTCCCTGGTGTTGCGGTTGATCATGGGCGGCGGTACTTAACATCAGGTGAGCCGCATGCTTGTTTGCCCCCTCTTCTATAAAAAAAAACAACAAAAATATGGATGATGTATAAAAAGATAGTGCGCAAAGGGCCGCTGCCTGGAGGTCGCCAGTGCACGTTTGGATCTGGCGCTGGATGCAACAGCATGCGGGGCGTCAGCCGAGCGCGGGACGCCACAAAACCACCCAGCAGCCCCCCACATCCATCATCCCCACCAGAAGGCTTGGTGTCAGTTGGGTCTTCTTGAAACAAAGTAGCGACTCAGAAAGCGGCACTCGCCGCTGGTGGAGCACGTCACATACGTTGGTCACAAACAATGAACGCAAGCGCATTGCGGGCGTACTTTAGGGCAAAAGGCGAAGAAACTGGAAGGTTAGCTTATCGTGCTCGGATGAATCGCTTTTTTGCAGAGCTGGAGCCATCGCTAACCGTCACTGTCCTAAACCTGGCAGACCGAGTTCGATACATCCTGCGCTTCATCATACTTGTTGACGCCGAACTCGAGTAATCACGACGTGAGGCTGTTCCCTCATCGAATGACAATGCTACGGCTTGGAATGCGGCGCCACTAATTGGATAGCAACCTGCAAACGTGGATGCCGTGGTTGATTCAGACTATGATGGAATGATCTCCCGTGAACTAGAAAATGAGGAGCATATTGGTAGAGGCGGTGTCAGAAACGCGCAGTACTCCTCTCGAAAATCGACTGCGACTACTCCGCATACCCCTAAGCAAGCGGAATCGGGCTGCCGTGCCGGCTGTTAAGTCAATGCTGATTACCCTTTTTGGAGGCCAGCCGGGACCTTTGCGAGACGGAATCAATTCTTTTTGGCGCCGCACTGGCAATTTGCCATGTTATTGGCGCTAAAGTTCCCACGGCTGGACGCGCTACTAAACAAAGTAGTGCCTTCCCAGACAGGAGAAAAATAATTGAGGACCATATCGCAAAGCCAAAAAAGGGCACTTGGCCCTCAACTCACTGACAAGCTTCAGGTGGGGTAATAATAGGCCAAGGGTTGTGCGCACCGTTAGAATGGCGTTTTCTGGGACAAATATCAGTTTATCCCAGCCGGATATCACGCAGAAACTAACGGAGCGCATAGATGACCTGAAGCAGAGAATCGCTGCTTGGGGGAAGCAGATTCGGTGATATACCGAGAGGTTAAGGCGGTTCTACCAGAATCGTCTCTTCCAGAGTGATCAGAAGAGGCTCTATAAGTCATTGGAGCGAACAAAGGTATGTGAAGCGGGCTCAGGAACCGATCAGGCCGACACTGTCGCGTTCTGGCGTGGCCTGTGGTCAAAGCCCGTAAACCACAGCGAGGGCCCTTGGATGGTAGTTATGGCAAGCCAGAGTGTGAGTGTTACGGCTGTGGACCCCGTCACCATAACGCCGAAAGACGTGGCTGAGGCGGTCCGTAGGGCCCGAACTGGAAAACTCTGGAACTCGACGGGTTGCATCACTAATGGCTGAAGGGGTTCGTTGTGTGGCACGCTGTGCTCGCCCGACAGTTTCAAGAGGTTCTCGACCAGAAGTCGCTCCCGAGCCTCTTCACTACTGGGATCACTCACTTAATTCCTTAAGATCAGGATACCATAGACTCGAGCAAATGCCGCCCCATCACGTTTCTACGCACCATATATAAGACACTGACATCCATTTTGAGCACGAGAATCACTCGTCACCTGGAGTTAAATCAGATGATGTCACGCGCTCAAAATGGATGTCGGGGCAGTGGTCGTGGAACCAAGGAATCACTCTTCATTTACGCGGTCATTGACAGGGGGTTCAGCGCAACCGCAAACCGAAACTTCTCCGCGCCTAGATAGACTACAGAAAGGCATTCGACTCGGTGCCCCATACATGGCTAAAGAGGGTCCTTCAACTATACAAGGTTGACTGTACAGTTAGAGACTTCCTCGAGCAGTGTATGGGGCAACGGAGTACGATCCTTTGTCATCTGGGCAAGCGGATGACAGCTGAGGAAAACCACATAAGTATAAGGAGGGTTATCTTTCATGGCGATTGTCTGAGTCCAATCTGGTTCTGCCTCTCTTTGAACCCTCTCAGTACCTTACTGGAGGGCTCCGGGAGGGGATTTCAGCTTCGGAAAGGAGGGACAAAAGTGACCAACCTTTTCTATATGGATGATCTCAAGATGTTCGCCTCCAGTCACTCCCATCTTATGGAGTTGCTGAACATCACCTGTGAATTCAGCAATTCCATCAGCATGGAGTTGGGAACGGATAAGTATGCGATCATCCGTGTTGAAAGGGGAAGGGTTACTAACATTGAGGGCATAAACTTTTCTATGCCCTCAATGTTAGTAATTAGTATTAACTTAAAGACCCTTTCCGAGGCTGAAACATACCGATACCTGGATATATCACAGAACATCGGTATCGATGAGGCGGGTATGAAACAGTCAGTTTACGACATATTCTATGCACGCTTGACCAAAGTGCTTAACAGCCTTTTGTTCGATGTGAATAAAACACGCGCATATAACGGTTGGATCATGCCTGTCCTCATGCATACCTTTGGCATACTCAGGTGGACTCACACTGAGCATAACGCCCTGGATTGAAAAGTAAACACTACCATGACGTCCCATCGAATGCATCACCCGAGATCATCGGTGACGAGGCTATACTTGCCGCGAAACATGATAGACGTGGCTTTTTAAGCGCGATTACCTAATGGCAGGACTGGGGAGTTGAGGGAGGTTTCACTCTCACTGCTACGTTTTGGTGACCTTTTCGAGGAAACCGATGGTTTTGCCTGTGCAATACAGGATCAGGTTATTAAGACCAACAACTATCGGAGATACATCCTAAAGGATGGCATGGCAACGTCTGTCGAGCTTGTCGCCATCCCGGTGAGTCACTTAGGCGCTGTCCTATTGCCATCGCTCGCACGATGATGCGATACGATTTCATCGTCCGATGAATCCGCACGCACGATTTCTTCAGTCGCATCGCATGATCGCACGACATTCAATAGGACATTCCGCAGATATGAGTATGTTTAAACGCACGGTCGCACGATCATTTTCGTCGGACGCAACGCATGATCGCGCGAGCGATGGCAATAGGACAGCGCCTTATGCGCGTCATCTCCGGTTGTTAGGCACTTTCAAACTCTGAGTACTTGCACAGGCACAGCCTAGTAGCCAGGATTCTACACCAGGAGCTCGCTCTGAAATACGGTCTCGTGGATCGGAAACTGTCTTATTATAAGTACTTGCTGGGATCCGTGCTTGAAAATGACCGCGCTAGGCTCTACTACGACCGGGCCATCATCACAGACAGAACTATTCTTGCAAATAAGCCTGATATTGATAGGGATTCGGTTTTGCGCCTGCGTTCAGTTTAGTCGTGTATTTGGTTGATGTAAATTTTATTCTAAAATTCGCTTTTAAAAATTTGTGATTGGGTGACTTAGTTCGTTATCAGTCTTGTGTTATTTACGGAGCGGCTCCTTCTAGTGGGTGGGCCTAGAGTGAAACAACATATTCTATTCTGTGGTTCCTGTTCCGAAAGTAAGCATCCTGTTTGCGGAGTCTTCTGAGTTTTGAACCTCGTACGCAGTTTGTTCCACGAACTGCGTCGCGCCAATTGAGCCACCCAGCTAGTGACGTAAGTCACAAAACTACGCTTCGCTAACTGCTTACCGGGTAACGTCATCCATATTATTTATTTACTTCTCATCGCTGTGAATATCGCTATAGAATTGGGGCTTCTGTACTTCTACACACGTTAGAATGTCGAAGTGTGCTGCATGTGGGCGATTTGTCAGTTCTGCGGAAGGTATTAAATGTACTGGGTGTAGCAGTATTTATGATCGATTATGTCTTAAAATTCCTAAAAGAGCTTTAAGATGCCGCAAAAATGGATGTGTCCGGATTGTATAAGTAAACAGCCGCGTAAAGACAATTCGGATACGCCAATTAAGGTGCTAACAGATCTTAATAAAAGCGAATCTTCAGCGTCTTCACCATTAGAGTATTGTGACTCCGATGACAAATGGTCACAAATTATGCAGGAACTTAAATCCGAAATAATATCAATGCGCCAAGAAATTAATAACTTTAGCGCAAAATTTGATAAAGTTTATACGGCGGTAGGCGATTTATGCAAGCGAGTCGACTGTATGGAACACAGATTAGATGCGCTTGAGCAACAAAAAAATTGTTAACCACCTTCAAATTGTAGTAATGAAATTAGTGAAATGATGGAATGTCTTAAAATGGAGCTAAATGACCGTGACCAAGAACAACTTCTTATGGATGTAGAAATTTCCTGCCTCCCAGAGGTTAAAGGCGAAAATCCGACACACCTCGCTATTCTTATTGCCGAAAAACTGGCTGTGAAGTTGTCTGAGGAGGATATTGTTAGTGCGGAGCGTATGGGACCGCCACGAAGCTGTGTCGAGGGAGGAAGGTGTACCTAAACCGCGGCCGTTAGTGGTGCGATTGATGCGGCGTTCATTGCGTGATCAACTAGTGCGGAGTGCAAGGGTGCGTCGAGGCGTTGATAGTAACGGCTTCAATCAGCCTGGCCCGCCAAGAAAATTTTATGTCAATGAACGTCTGACGCGTACAAACCGTCAGCTTTTTTATAAGGTCCGCCAAGAGGCCTCAAAGCATGGCTGGAAATATGTATGGACGCGTGATGGTCGTATTTACGTTAGACGTCGAAACGATACTGAAGCACGTCGTATACGATGCGACCTTGACATCAAAAAGGTTTTTGGCGAAAATGCTGTTGGCTTATAATAATATGTAGAAAAATAGTTTTTTTCATAAAATATTTAATGTGCTTTTATGGCTTATATGTTTTCCGAACAATCTATAACGAAGTGTATCGGTGTTGTGTGCTATACATCGATTATTTTTCTGCGCCTAATTGTTTATTGCCGCAACACATTCTCATGCTTATTATCTTATTATTTGTCGCAGGGCTCATCACGAGTGATGTGGTGCCAATATTTCAAATATTTGTTCATGAAGAAGGTGTTACGTTTATTAGTATTAACTTAATAAATATTTGTTATTTGTTATATATAATTATAACGTATGTTTCTGTATATATATATATATAAAATAAAAAAAATTGTATATCGTATTGCATTGCTTGATTTTCGTTATATTTGTGCTAGACAATTTAATTATGAATAATCCCGGATTACATAGTCGTTACTGTTGCTCATATAACTTGTTTTATAACGCCTTGTATATAACATTGCTGTTATTTGTAGCTGCCTATACAATTCTATTTTTATATAAACATACTATTTGCTACAAACAGCTTTTCTTAGCAAGGGCGCGAAAATAAATAAAGTTAAGGTTGGCTTTCTTAACCCATGCTCCCTAGGAACAAGGCACGATGAATTTATAGTTGCAATGCAAGAGCATGACGTAGATATCATGGCCATAAATGAGACTTGGCTTCGAGAAGGTGAGGATGGCCGTGCACCTATAGTTCCCAATTACCGTCTACGTCATATTCCGCGATCTGAGACAATTCGAGCACGCGGTGGAGGGGTAGGCTTTTACGTACGTCGCACAATGACCGCCCGGGTATGCACACACCCTACTGCATCCCTAGTCGAGCAAATGTGGCTTAGTTTAAACATAAATGGGACAAAACTCATCATAGGCACGGCATATCGTCCGCCATGGCTAGATGTTGACTCGTTTTTTGATGCTTTAACCGATACTATATCTTCTTTTTCCTTTTCTGACTATATAATAATATTAGGTGATTTCAACATTAATTTATTAAACTGTGATCGTAACTCAGAGAAATTTAATGATTTCATAAAATAGGTATTTTAATTTAACACAGTACGTAACACAGCCTACACATTTCACTGAGCATAGCTCAACATTACTTGATATAATTTGTAGTGATGTTGTAGTCACAAAGGTAAAAGTGGATTTTATACCGAGTCTAAGTAATCATGCCTTCATAGAAGCAGAACTTCAAATAACAAAACCAAAATTACCTCCCCCGTAAAATCACATATCGCTCACTAAAAGACATCGATATAAATGTTTTTGATAATGACATTGACTCTATTGACTGGGAAGCAATTTCAAACCTAGTAGATGTAAACGAGATGGTGCTTCAGTTTAACAACACCATAACTTTCGTTTTTGATTGTCACGCACCCATCAAAAGTACTCGTATTAAAGAAAATACATATCCCTGGATTACATATACTATCCGTCAGATGATGAAATTACGTAACGAAGCTTATAAGCGTTATCGTTCGTCTGGACTGAGCAGGCATAGAGATTATTACAAGGAGCTGAAGAGTCATGTAATTACAGCATTACAAAATGAAAAGCGTGCGTATTTTAATCAGTATATAAACCGTAACCTGAATAATTCTAAAGTTCTCTGGAAAAACCTGAAGCGTTATTCCAATCTAGCCAGCAAACACCGTGTTACTGAAATCCCTGAGCACTTACAAAACCCAGACAGACTGAACTCTCATTTTTGTACGGTACCCGGTAAAAGTGTAACACCAATATCGAGTCTTACTTATTACGAATTTCATCGTTTTGGAAACGTGTATTTTGAGTTAAAGCCCACTGATGAAACCACAGTTTCAAAAGTCATACGATCACTTAAATCAAATGCGTTAGGCAGTGACGGAATATCTCTTGAAATGTTGCTACTGACGCTTCCACGTACACTCAAAGTTATAACAGCCATTATAAACGCTTCACTTCGCACATCTACTTTTCCCGACGTCTGGAAAACAGCCATAGTTAGGCCTCTACCCAAAAAAAATAATGTGTCAGATATAAAAGACTTAAGGCCAATTAGTATTCTACCTTTTTATCAAAGGTTCTCGAGAAAATCGTATGTATGCAGCTTTCAACTTTTTTAGAGTGTAATAATATATTACCCGTTTTTCAATCCGGATTCAGAAAGGCACGAAGTACATCAACAGCCTTAATGGATGTGGTTGACAATATCTTGACATCACAAGATAATGGACAGGGCACGATACTGGTCTTGCTTGATTTTTCCCGAGCATTTATGCCATAAATATTCCATTATTGTTATCCAAAATGAGTTACTATGGTTTTGAATTACCTGCTGTTCGATGGTTCGACAGCTATTTATCCAATCGGACACAGATAGTAACTATTAACAAAAACGATGGCGCTCAGATGTGCTCGTCTCCATGCCCTGTAACCAGGGGAGTACCTCAAGGATCTATACTTGGTACACTTATTTTTATTCTATACACAGCAGACGTATGTCACCATATAAAGCACAGCAAGTTCCACCTATACGCCGATGATATACAGATTTATCTCCCATTTTTTCCTAGTGAAGAAGAAAGTGCAGTAGCAAAAATAAATGAGGATTTGCATCGCATCTCATTATGGTCAGAAGCGAATACACTTGTGCTCAACCCATGTAAATCAAAATTCATGCTGTTAGGGTCAAAAGGACAGGTTGATCGTATAATGAAAAAGAAATTTATTATAAGCATACGTGGAGAACCGGTGGAACGTGTAAGTGAGACTCGTAATCTAGGATTGATGATGGACAGGGTCTTCGCTTTGAGAATCATGTACTTGAGATCACACGCAACTGTTTTTATAGACTCAAAGTACTCTACCAAGTGCGTGATTATCTCAGTGAAGACGTCCGATTGCGCCTATGTGAGTCACTCGTACTTTCAAAATTCGGGTACGCAGATACTGTGTATGGTTCTAGACTATTTGCTAAAACAAATAGGTCAATACAAAGGGTGCAAAACGCATGTGCAAGGTACATCTTTAATATTCCTCGATATCATCATATACATCCATATCTTAATAAGTTGGACATATTAAGGATGTCATTGAGGAGAGATTTACATCTAGCCACGCTTCTGTTCGGATGCATATAATCAGAAAGACCGGAATACCTCTTTCAAAAATTAAAATGGAGAAGAGCAGATGATTGTCGAAGCATCAGAACGGGTACACCAATTCTGGCAATCCCATTTCACCGAACAGCCGCGTTTCGTGGTAGTTTTAGATACATGGCCACTAAATGTTGGAATAATTTACCACCACCTTTACGGGAATCTAAATCTGTAAACGGTTTTAAAGCTCAACTAAAAAAAACACCTTTTAGCATTTCAAAAATCATGATTTCACGTGTAGTGGCAGGTTATTTCATAAGTACTGTTTAAAAAATATATACGAATAATTAATATGAATACAGTACAATCTAAAATGTAATATATTTTTGTGTGCGAGTGTGTATATGCACGTGTATGTATATGTATTTTATTAACAATTAATGTTATTCTTAAAAATGTACACTTTGAGTGAATGGTTGATTTATTTATTTATATTTTTTTTAAATGGAATATTAGCACCGATAACAGCGCGGGCGCAATATCGAATAAATACTATTCAGGGCTCCGCTGAAAATCAGCGCTGCTGTAGTACGTGTGGTAGCATATGCTGAGTCGGAATCCTTTTTGGCATCACATCACTCACTCTTGCCGAGACTTATTTTTACTATGTTTACCATCTTGTACCTTGTGTGTTTTTTATGTTTTTATTTACTTTTAAATGTATATTTTGTGAGTGTATTGATGCAAATAAAACTTATGTCTATGTCTATGTCTACGTCTATGTCTATGTCTATATTGTACTGATGAACCGGGTACAGTCAATGATATTTTTGGTCGACATTACCATTTCTTATGATAAGAAGCTAGCTAGTGAAAGCCGAATCAGAAAAGAAAACTAAATATCTGAACCTGGCTCACGAGGTGACTGACATATGGGGTGGTCTGCCGACCGAAATTATTTCTGTAGTCGTCTCTGCGAATGGGCTAATCCCGGTCAGCCTCTCGGGTCTTCTGAGGCGTCTAGGACTCCGTGACGGACCTCGATACCACCCGCATCGTCCACCGGTTTCTTTTCCTTTCCCCCTAACCCTCGGCCGTTTGGTCTCCCCTGCCGAGGGTTTCCACCTGGTTGGGCTTTTATTTATTTATGTATTTATTTTATTTTATTGATATTTATATATTTTATCATTCTCATTTACAATTAATTATATATTTATGGAACCCAACCAGATGAGAAAACTATATAGATATCTCAAAATTAATTACGAGGGTGGATTGAAAAATACTCGGCCTAACACAGATCCATTCAATTCTAAAAATCAAATGTACCCACATTATTTAGTTCAGTTCAGACTAGTTCATTGTGTGAAGTTCGAAACGTGTGCGATAATTAGTTGTGATTTTATAAATTTATTAACAAAGTAATCGGACATAATTTCCGCGAATGGAGCAAATCGAGCAGCGTGCCGTCATTAAGTACCTCCATAAGAAGGGGCTATCATCAAAAGCCATCCATGATGACATGGTCAGTACATTAGACGATTGTGCTCTGTCATATTCATCCATCAAAAAATGGATAGCAGAATTTAAGCGTGGTAGAGAGAGTGTGAAAGATGAACCCCGCTCTGGAAGGCCTTCGACGTCAACTACTGACGAAAATATTAAAAAAGTACTTGATTTAATAATGGGAGACCGCAGATTAAAAATTAGAGAGATAGCCGAGATTATAGGCATCTCTTATGAATGAACTCAAAACATCATTGTCAACGAGTTGGGTTTCCACTAGGTGTCCGCGAGGTGGGTTCCGCGACTGCTTTCAGTTGAACAAAAAAGGACGCGATTGACTATTTCACGCGACTGTTTGGAGTTATTTGAAGCCGATGCAGATGATTTTTTGAATCGTTTTGTTACTATGAAGGAAACATGGGTTCATTACTGTACACCAGAAACAAAACAACAATCAAAACAGTGGAGAAGACCTGGTTCACCACCCCCTAAAAAAGGCTAAGTCGATTTTGTCGGCAAATAAGGTGATGGCTTCAGTATTCTGGGACTCGAAAGGTGTGATTATGATTGATTATCTTGAAAGGGGTCAGACTATAAACTCTGATTACTACTGCACCTTACTACGTCGTTTACGAGAGGAAATAAAAGAAAAACGTCGAGGAATGCTCAGAAGAAAAGTCCTGTTTCATCAAGATAACGCCCGTGTTCACACGTCAGTACAGTCAATGGCTGAAATTCACAACTGTGGCTTTGAACTGTTACCGCATCCGCCGTATTCACCTGATCTGGCACCATCAGACTTCTTTCTGTTCCCTAACCTAAAAAAGCACTTGGGAGGTCAAAGATTTTCGACAAACGACGAGGTCAAAGCAGCTGTAGACGCATATTTTGACTCTAAGGAAGAATCATTTTTTTTCAACGGTCTAAATGCTTGGAAGGGGGAGGTGGCAAAAGTGTATTGAACTTGACGGTGATTATGTAGAAAAATAAAAATATAACTGATTTAGTATGTGTTTATTTTCTTGGTTAGGCCGAGTACTTTTCAATCCACCCTCGTATGTCAACTTAGTGGTCACTCATTTTATTATATTTTTTATTAGAAGTCACGTTAGTTGAAATGTCCTCAGCACATAAAATCACTGACCTCTATATATACAAGATAGAGGTCAGTGACATAAAATACACGTATGCTTCGTCATATTGACAATGTCATTTATGTACAGCAGGAACAGAATCGGACTGAGAACACTTCCCTGTGGAACGCCATATTTATTTTTCGGTAAGTATTCGGACGAGTGCGGTACGTATGTCCCCATTTACATCTGTTTTAGTAACAATGACACATTGTTGCCTATTATAAAGATAATATAAATGTCAAATGCATCATCATCGACGACGACGTTGTATGGGTTACCGAAGATACACAAACCAAACGCTCCACTACGTCCCATAGTGAGCCAGATCGATTCACCAACTTATAAACTGGCACAACACTTAGCAAAAATACTATCACCACTGAGAGGACATACCAGAGCACACAAAAAGGATTCATACCATTTTGTGAGTGAGATAAAAGACCTACATCTCGCTGACAATGAAACTATGGTCAGTTTTGATGTTCAGTCACTATTTACATGCCTACCTATTGTTGACTGCAACTCAATTGTAACTAGGAAACTGGCAGAAAATAACATGCCTCAGGAATATGCAATATTACTTGAACACTGCCTCACATCTGGCTATCTATTGTGGAAGGAGGAGTTCTACAAGCAAGTAGATGGTGTGGCGATGGGCTCACCTGTGTCTCCCATAGTCGCCGACATATTCATGGAGGACTTCGAGGAGAAAGCCCTTCTTACTGCTCCTGTAAATCCAAGGTTCTACAAGCGGTACGTAGACGACACTTTCACAATTTTACCATCTGACAAAGTAACTGCATTTTTAGACCACCTTAACTCCATAAACTCTAAAATACAATTCACAATGGAGTTAGAGGCAAATAATTCTTTAGCCTTCCTAGATGTTTTAGTCATCCGAAATCCTGATAACACTATTGGTCACACTGTGTATAGGAAAAAGACCCATACCAACCGATATCTAAATGGTGAATCTCACCATCATCCTTCACAGTTAGCTACCGTGGGTAAATCTTTGTTTCAGAGAGCACGAGGGATCTGTGACAGAAAACATCTGGCCGCCGAGCAACACGTCAAGCAAGTATTGCAAGACAACAAGCTTCGGGTCCCGCGCCTACGTCACAGTGAACGAGTAAAGCCAGCCACAGTCGAGCGTGCGCCTGCTATACTACTATATCAGAGGAGTCACAGACAAGATTGGCTACATCTGAAGCGAGCTTCCATTAAAACATACTACAAGCCGCCGAAGAAGATTACTCAATTTTTACCATCCATCAAATGTAATATTCCTCTACAGGATGCAGGTGTGTACAAGCTAGATTGTGAATGTGGTCTGTCTTACATAGGTCAAACAAAACGATCTATAAAAACCCGCGTGAAGGAACATATAGCTGACGTGAAGCACCGACGCTCCGGGAAGTCTGCAGTCTGCGAACATGTTCAAGACCGTCCCCACCATTACATTCGATTTGATAAACCACAAATCCTCGCAAAAGAACACCGATTCCTACCAAGGATGATACGCGAGGCTATTAAAATTAAAAAACATCCAAATTTCAATAGAGAAGATGGATGGGTGCTGCCAGCAGCTTAGGATCCTATAATTAACAAAATTAAACCCAAACCCAAGCATACCACTGCAAGACTTCATGATACTATAAGCTCGTTTTGCGTAATCGTAATTAAACGCGATAAAATCCGTAAATAATAGTTTTATTCAAAATTCTATTAGTTTTATACATGCATTTTTCATATATTTTTGATATAAAAAATTTAAGATCATATCTTCCGAAGAGTTGGAGTTGGAGCAAGCTAAGTGCTTTAACCAAAGGCATTATTTTTCCCGAATTAATGTAAATTTCGTCCATTTTTATGCGAAATTAGATGTGTGGAAAACTTAAAGGAGTTCAGCCGACAAACAAACAAGCATGCAACCATGCTTATGCATGCAAAGCTATAATTTGACTTTTTTTACCGGCTAATTTAATTAGTCGGTTTTAGCTTCCTTATCCATACTATTTTTTATTTTATTTTATAGAATAAGAGTGACAAACGAGCGCTCAGTCCACCTGATGGTAAGTGGATGCTTGTAGCCCATAGACACCTACATCTATCTTCTATTAATAATCAAAATGCAGATGCGTTGTTACCCATGAGGACTAAGATGGAATTTCGACTTCCAGTAATGTCACCGGTTTTTTTTTTACACTCAACATACGAAATACAGCAGCACTAAGCTGACATTTTGTATGTTTTGTGTATAAAGTAATAGTAACAATTTTATTATAAATAGTCTGGTTGGGTATATGAGTAGGTAATTATTAATTGGAGTATATATACAATATGGAACGTAATTAACGCACACCCTCAGACACCTCAATTAGTATATTATGTTATAATCATATTACACACACTGAATTTTTAGTTAAACATTTTTATGCACTGATTATCAAATTAGTTATACTATTTCCGGAAGAATGTTGTGGTCATAGTACAAATCCACGAACGCAAAGACTTTAACGTGCTTGAAATAAAGTTCATTTTTCTTTATTTTTATTGAATGACAGAATTAGTAATAATACAAATCAAACTGCACTCCATAGAGTAGAGTAATATATACAGAAACTGCACTCTTAAGCCTTATTGCCTTAAGTTACGGTCCATTTCAGTTTGTTTTGACTGTACAGATTTAGTGTAACTGTAATTTACGTAGTTTTCATTATTTTTGGGATAAAAAAAATTACTTAAAAATGATAGGAATTGATTCAGTAAACGATTCTGCACAAACTACTTTCTCAAAGTGCGTTAATTATGTTATGTGTTATATATTAGACTACTGTGATATATTGCATGTACATTTGTGCTACATACATGTTAACCGGTGGTCCCTAAGGGCACATGAAGCGGATTGCTAAAGAATAATAATAATAATAACAATGCCCTCCTGACCGAACTTCGGTCACGGCGGCCTACTTCAACGAAGACTATCGGCGCATTACAATGCATAGGTGCACTCTCTATTCCCTCACTCTCATAGTCCGACTGGACGGTAAACCGACACGAACAGAGAGAGATAAGGCGGAGGACGGACGGCTTTACGTGCTTTCCGGGCAGCTACTGAGAATATCTTGACAGAAAAACTCATTAATTGATTTTTTGGCCCCACTACTACAACCACCAAACCAACGAGATAGTCAAAAGGAAATACAATTCTCGCAAATATTGAAAAAACAACATTCCTGAAGATAACAGTAAGTATTCAGATACTGCCGATACCATTTTACGCGCACAATCACACCACTTTTCACATTATTTTTGTGTTTTATTTATATAAACGTAAAAATCAACCGAACTATTATACTTTATCTTAAAATTAGTGGTTCATACCAAAATAAAAAAATCGGTTAAATGGTCCCCCATTACTAAAAAGTTAAGAAACGATGATATACTTACGTGGCAGAGCTACCTACAGCTATAATATTGTTATAGCACGAATGGATCGGCTCAAACCAGCTTAAAATAGCAGCTTAATACTGCCGTATTTCGTATGGCGAGTGTAGAAAACCGGAGACCCAAAGACAAAGGAAACAAGGCATTCTATTTGATTGTTAAGCGTCAGGTGGACTGTGCTCGTTTGTCACACTTATTTTATAAAAGATATATCTTGATAGGCTGTAGTGATGATGATGTATATAGGAACATTTACACGATATACATAAGGTACAAAGAAAATCACATAAATAAAACAACTTTTTTGTTTTACATATTTATTATTTATAATAACTCTCTTCACCTCTCAACACGTAACTTTAAACAGCAAGATAAATTTATTGCGTGGTTTCATTTATTTGTACAATTAACACACTGACAAGCTGACTTCACCGCTATAGTAATACTGAAATACCAGATTTTAATAGCAAGCGAGGAAAATGCTATTCGAATAGTTGAAAACTGGTGTTTTTTTTTTAACCTAAAAACAACGTGGAATGCAAGAGGGGTCGATTGATTTAAGAGAAATCACAATCATTTATATTTCATTTAATTGTATATAAATAGTATTTTATTTGATAATTACATAAGTTAACAACTAACCAATTAACGCATCGCGCACTAGAGGCAAGCAGGAGTGAAACTCAAACGATAATATATACAAGAGGGTAGTTGACTCCTCTAGCGCGCAAACGTTAAAAAAACGAGTTTAATCTATTTTTTTTTAATTTCAACGATGGCGTAACACAATCACAATACTTCCAGAGTAATTTAAGGTTCATAACCTATGCAATCTACTAAGAACGCACCGAAATACACCTAATTTAAATTATGGCGTACCGTCGACCGTAATAAGAAACGAGTGATGTAAGGACGTTTCATATCGATAGAAATCTATCGATATCAACATTTCTAAAATTAGGTCAATGTGTCGATGCTAGAAACGTTACTAAAGGCAATATAATACAATAATCTTATAATACATTGAATATATTTCGTAAATAATTTTATTCCAGCTCCTAATATCGGGAGTTTTGATGACCGACGGTGCTCGGCTGCTGATATTGAGGATTTTGTTTAATCCTCGAGGTTTCGGAAAGCAGCGGACATGTCCTCCAAAAGCTGGTCGAAATCTGCCTTGATCTTGGCCTCTCCGTCTTTCACTGGGTCCTGAAAAAACATTACAATTAATATGGACTGCGGTTAATTACCGTGTAGTGGCGGTGTAAGAATATCCACTAACCCACATCATCCCGTGGAAGTCGTAAGAGGCGACAGAAGGAAACAAATCAGGAGATGCTGCCCGTCTTGCGTCTTCTTAACAACGACTAAGAATA